CCCCCCCCCCCCCCCCTCGCCCGGCTCCTTTACCCCCGTCGCTAGTATTCCGCAACAACCCTCCAAACGAGTCATCTTCAGCACACACATTCATATAGTCTGCACATACACATTACATATTCATGCATATGCATGCATAGTCTATGCATGCATACATGCACTCACACGCAGCAGTAGAATACAGTAATCCCTCCAGCTCGTCCTTCCTTTCTTGGTTTGTGTGTCCAGTTTTTGTTTCGTGCACGCGCCCTCACCTTATGCGTGCATGTATCTGCTGCGTGTGTGTTTATTGTGTTCCCTTCCCTGTGTACCACCAACCAATGTGCATGTTTGGTGTGTGTGTGTGTTTTTCGAGCAGTGCTTCTGCGGCAACAACGAAGAACCCTACACGTACGACAAAATTGAAGAGGAGGAGTGCGACTTCAGTTGCCCCGGGAACTCAGCGGCCCCCGACGAGAACTGTGGTGGGCGGTGGGCTCTGAGCGTCTACTCTGCGTACCCCACGCAGCTGTAGGGTGATGACCCTGATCGAACCGACAGTTCTCGGCGCGCTCGGGCGGCGAAGCCCCCAAGAAAGGGGCAATCCGATCCGAAACGCGAACTGTTTACACAAGACACGGACTAGCAAGTGTGGTACAAATACAGGTGATTTTTCCATAAGTAGGGCGCGGTAACGTAGACTATTGTTCCAGTTATGTTCTCGAAATCACCGGGCTACTGTTTTGACAGTGTATTTTCTGTTGTTTCGTTTTTCCTTCCGTTGTCTGTTCTTTTCTTCTCGCGTTCAGATTTTTTCTGGTCCTGTTAAGACTAGTCTTTGTGCAGCGCGTTATTTTGTCCCATTTGTTGTCTTCTTTTCTTCTAGAGGTCAAACGATAATCTTACGACTCATCGAGTGAGAGGTATGGGAGGGTGAGTTGTGCTGTTTTGGGGATCCACATCCTCGATTTTTTGTTTTGGGATTCGATAATTGTCTGTCAAGCCCCGAGGTTTGTAGTATCTGCGTACGAGAACCTCCAGGGTGAGCTAGTGTTATAGGAGAAGTTGAGACGGAACAGAATAGAGAATGGTTCCTGAGAACCATCCTCGAGGAAACATGACTCCCTGTTCTGGGAAGTTGTAACTCCCGGTGGTAGGCCAAACAAGGGGACAGATCCTCCTGTCCCCTCTTGATGCAGCTCGTTCGGAGCCCCTTTGTCTTAGTTCCTATCCAACCGCGACTCATCAGCTGCTGCTGCTGCTCTGCAAGAGTTAATAACAAGTGCGTTATCTACACCGGGTCTTCCAGTTAGCACAGCGCGTGCTTTTCCATTACACTTGGCGTGTCGGCTTCATCGTTCCGCGTGCTGCTGGGCTGATTTTGTTATGTGCATGTCTTGTGACCTTTCGTATGCTGGCCTCGCCCAGCCTTCGTTTGTTGCTACAGCAGTCAGCTTTGCTTTTGTCTCGCCTTCGATAGGTCTCAACCTAGCGTCGGCTCTTCGGACTCTGCCTCTGCAAGTCCTGAGCGTTCAGAGCACTCAAGCTCGTCGTCTGTGTCTTTGCATGATGGTGTTGCTCACGACGTACCCGCAGTAGCTCAGCAGCAGACCTCCACTGGCGGCGCTGATGTTGATCCGCTTGCTGGTGCCTCCGGTTCACCACACCAACCTCATTTAGGCCACACACGCCTGAGGCCCGCCTCGAAGGCTTCGGCCGACGCTAACCCCGTGGGTGCTATCCTCAAACCGCCGGCACCCACACAAGGAACCTCACTTCCTGCACAGGAAACCTCGCTTTCCGCGTACCTTCGGGTTCTCCCCAAAAGCATGTAGATCAGCAGCCTTTCGTTTTCCCGCGTGCTGATGCTGGCTTTCCTTTGCCTGCTGATAACATGGCCGTTGAGCCTTCTGCTCTCGAGTCAGCCGCCGGTTCCGACCGCGGTGCTGACATTTCCGCTGAGCCTTCTGCTCTAGAGTCTGCCATCGGTTCCGACCGTAGTGCGGGCCCTGTTGTGTCGCGTGCCTCGTCTCGCGGTACTGCGTCTGGCCGTTCTCTGTATTTTGATAGTCTAGTCTACAGCGTACCGGCGATCCCACCTTTTCGTCGCGTAGTAGCCGCCCTCAAGCCGCTGCTCATGAGACCAGACTTGCAGATGGTCGTATGCTTGCACATCGATGCATGCAGCCTCGTCTATTCCACTGCATCAGGCTCCGTAGCCTCGTCTACGCATTCAGTTCCCACTGTTTCCTACTAATCTCTTTCCGTAGTCTCGTGTACGATTGCAGCCTTGCCTATTTTTGACACCTCAGAGGTCTGCTGCTGTGACATCTGTACCCGTGGCCTCGTCTACGGCTGCAGCTTTGGGCGCCATCCGCAACTGACCGTCATGAATTTTTAGTTGGGGGAGGATGGTGATGAACCATCCCCGGGTAAGGTCTGATTTTTTTTTGGTGTGTTCATTATACTCTATTCGACCACCCCGTGAGATTTGGGGGAAAGTCGTTGATAGTACACCTGGGTGTCAATGGGGTGTGCTGTTTCCTGCAGGAAAAACTCTCGAAACGCCAAAAAGCGGGGATGGCCCGATAATATCCCCCCCTCTTAGATAGCTGTGATCGGCCTGAAAATTTCAACATAGGGATAAATCGGGTCGAGATCTGCGTATCCGTTTTCAGGTTTTCCAATTTCGTCGATCGCATTGAGTTACAGCGATCCCAAAACGCTCGGGGATGGAAGGTTAGCAACCCCTCCCCTCGCAACCTCAACTACCCGGTCCTACGGGCTCAAAGTCTCAATTCTGGGCAATAGTGGGGTGGGGATCACGATGCTTCCATCAGAATGACGCAGATGGGTGTTGTCTTTGAGAAATAGGTGGGCCAAAATGACTTTTTCCTCTAGGATGCAACCACCATCATCTCGTTTTCTAAGTTTGCTCTGTCCACCTGAGTTTTTTTCTGGGCAATTTTCTGAGTGGCTCTACCCCCCCGAATTCGGCCAAGCGGAATCGATTGCCGAGGTGAACAACGAAAACAAACGTCGGCAACATGACGAAAAAAAAGAAAACGAAAGCAATCCCAAACCGATTTTTTTTGTTCAACTTTTTAGACGCCGGTTTTGAGCGTTTGAAAGCGAGACAAAAAAACGATTTCTGAAATTTCGTTTTTTCAGCTGGGGAGAACCCATGACGATCAGTTGCGGATATGGTTGTTTCTGATGCCTCTGCTGCTGTTGCATCCATTTCTGTAGCCTCTATTCGATAAAGTTACACCATAAGAACAGTCAGCGCGCTGACTAGTCCAATGGTGTAACTCTAATAGCTTCACCTTCGATTTCAGCTCCGGCTGCTTTCCATGTATCTCTTTCCGTAGCGTCGTCTACGCCTGCAGCATTGTCTGCCTCCGATGCCTCTGCTGCTGTAGCCGCTGATATTTTTTACTCTGTAGATTTGTCTACATTAGCGGCCTCGTCTGCTTCCCATACACACCCTTTCGTGGCTTCCGCCACGTCTGCGCTTTCGGCTTTTCCCCCCTTTGCCCTTTAAAGTGGTAATTTTCAAGGACCCGATTTTGGTTGTCCCTCCATAACTTTTGACTGAGAGCGAGTAAAAGAAAAAGAAACACAGCTTCGGAACGCCCGCGGCAAGGCGCAAGAGAGTAGCGAGTCGCCAAAAAAAAAAATGGAAAAAAAGAGAAAAAAAGGAAAAAAAGATGCTCGCGGCGGGTCTCGAACCCACGAAATTGGCCCTAGAGCAACTTTTCCGCCATTAATGTTGCTAATCCTTTTTTTTTTTTCGCACCAAACCACCCACACGTGCACAGGAACGCCCTCAAACACTATGCAAATGCCTCTACCACACCTATAGCGTACATACATCACAAAAATTGGCCGTTTTCAACAAAAATGTTCCATTTTTGTACAACATTCCCACCAGAAACACGGGAAAAAACTGAACAAATACAGCTCAATGAACAAGAATGCGCCGTCGACTCTACGGCCTCCATTCCTTCGGGGTCGGGCGCCTGTGCGACTTGTACTTCTTGTACGTCTTCTTGCCCTCAGGCCCTTGCACACGCGTCTCGCGGTACATGAGGGCGTGTGTGTACGCCTTCTTGCAGTAGCCCTGGACTACCGAAACAGCCTGTCTATCCTTCTCTGGTCTAAAACTCAGCGGCACGTTCTTGCGCAAGCATTCCAACGAATATTTGCAGTTCTTTCGAGTCCAGTCCTTCGCTCGGCCCCAAACAAGCTCGATGGGGTTACACTCGCAGTGGTACTTAGGAAGCATGAGACAGGCCCCCCCGTGGCGCTGCATCAACAGCACCAGACTAGAATCAACTTCCTTGAAGTCCTTCTGCTCTCCCAAAACGTGCTCCATGCTCTTGCTGAGGTCCTGCTTTTCGCCCGAGCCCCCCGTCTTACTCATGCCTTTGACCAGGAGCCCCCTCTCCCACAAAATCTGCCGCATTCCTTTCAACTTTCCGACATATTGCGCCGGCTTGAGATGCGGGGAGTGGAAGGGGGGATCGTCCCCCCTCCGAAACACCAAGTGCTGTACCGTGCCGGCTGGGAGGTTCGGGGTATCTTCGAGGATGGTCACGGGGTCCATCGGCGCAAGCTCTTCTCCGTTCCTCACACCACCGACACCCAAGTTCATTCTCTTCACCGACGGTGCGCCGACCTCCATGCAGTCATGACAGGACGACCAGTCGAACAGGCCTACAGGCTTGTGCTCAGGGTAGAGAACTGTGAACATGTCGAGCACGTCTGACATGTGGTCCAGCATCCTGAGCCCGGTCCAGTATCCCTCCTTGTTCTTGCCGTACTCGAAGAGGTGGTAGGACCAGTACTGTCCATGCTCGTCTTCATGAAGCATGTCGATGGGGCGGAACTTCTCCACCTTCACGTTTTCCCCCCGTCGCTTCGCGGCAGCTGAGGCGGCGCATCGTTTCCTGCGGTTGCGCTCCGCGTCCTGGATCTGTGCCCGCGACGCCGAGAAGAAGCCAACGTTGTGGATTATCGTCCCCGACACCATGATCCCCTGGCCTTGTGACTTCTTCACGGGCACATGCTGGCCGTCCCGATACCACGCGCGCCTCTGGTCGTCGTTGGCTGCAAATACAAACAAGAAACCGACAATTTAGGGGCGGCAGATGTGGCGCTGTCAACATGTGTGATTAAATTTAAAGTCCCACAATTGAATTGCGAGCAAGATTACTGTTCGCGCCCGGAATTTACACCTAAATTATCGAACCCGCTTTGCTCCGTTTAAAACTAACCTCGAAATATGCTCTCGTCCTGGTAGAGAAGCATGGCCCGCCTCCCGTCAGGGTAGGTTTTCTTGCTCTGCACTCTGGCTTGCAGGTCTTCGGGCAAGTCTGCCAGCGCAGACTCGAGATCATCGACACAAACCCAGACACCACCATCCGGCAAGCGCTCGGTCTCCTCCACCGTATCAACGTCAACACCCCAGACGATCGCTTCATCCTTGCCCATCGGAATCCATACCTCCATGTAGTCGCGGGTGTCGAACAGCGCCGGGAGGAACTCGTCGTGCCGGTATTCAAGGGTCTTCTTGTCGTCGTGGCCATCGAAGTACAGCCCCTTTTTGCCGTCGTGGTATTCGCATCCCATCTTCTTCAGCCACTCCGTTGCCGTAGAAAGGGAGATTTGGCGCTTTGGCGGCTCGTTCTCCTTCACTTCCACCAGCTTTACTCTCAATCCATGGAAAGCGTTGATGCCGTCCTTTTCCTGCTCCTCCAGCATCGGCATGATGGTGCTGTTCACCCACTTGCGGAAATCCTCCGCCGTTTTATTGGCTTGCCCACTGAGTATCCCGCAGTTCTCGAGCACCCAGCCTTTCGCGAGCTTGAAGACGCCTTCGTCGAGCTCCAGCAAAAACCTGCGCTTGAAGCGACCTGTGTCAGGTTTTTTTATGCGTCCGTGGGCGATGAAATCCCGCTCCCACTGCTGTACTGTTTGAACGGTTCTCCGTCCAACCTCTGCTGCGATGGCCAGTGCATCCTTCCGGTCGAAGCCGTCGGCCTGCTGGGTGTACAACTGGATCAATGTCATGGCCACTTGCACCGTGTGCGCCAGCTGAAAGTTGGACAAACAGCTGTCTTCCGTACTTGTATCCTGCGCGAAGGGGGAGTGTCGAGGGTGGCAATAAACCTTTAACTTTCAGTGGCCAATTTGTTTGACAGCAGTATTTCAAGTGTAATTTTTCAAGGTTGAGTGCAGGCAAATTAATTTGCAGAGCGGGTGCGAAGTACGTGCAGGTTGGTCAAACTCCGACGGCGGAGGTTGCAGATTGGTGCCGCCCGAGAAACCCCGCCACGATAAATTAATAATAATGTCGTGAGATGAATTTACAGCAGTGTAGATTATTACAGACCTCAGAGCCCCCAGGTTCGAGCACGGCATGCGTGAAGAAAAAAGAGGATCACACTTAATTTAGACTGTGTAGACTACTGCCCTCACATCGTTCATCTCCGCGGCTGCGCTGATCGTCTTCGCCACATCACTCACAACGCCGTCGAGGAGCTCGATGCTCTCAGCGCGAAACTCGTCCGCCGCTGCCGCCAGCACCCGAGCTTTCATCTCCGCCCCTTTCGCACGCCTAATCTTCTTTGCAGCTTGAGATGTGCTGTACGTGCCCTTGTTCAGGTATCTCCTCTTCGCCTCTTCGGCCCACTCGGGTTCGAACTCTATCCACGCCCGCACGACTTCTTCCAGACTGCTTGCAGAGAGGTTGAATGCCCCAGGAACGGCCTCCTCTAGTTCCTGCCGAAGTGTCAACGCACGCATCCGCCGGGCCGCCCTCCCCAACTTTCCAAAGGGCCGCCCACTGTAGTCCCGTTGTCCACC